AATGATGCCACATTGCTAACATGTAAACAAACGGGCAAAAAAAAGTTGTAGCCCACAGTGTACCTCACTCACAAATACTTCCTGCTACATCAGATGCTGTAGTTTCAAAACTGAGAGCAAGATCTGAAGTGAGACAAATAATATAAAACTGAAGTGAGACAAATAATATAAAGGATGTGAGGGGAGCAGGGGTGGGGGCACAGTGTCAGAAACTCCTGTTTTACACTGTAATGGTGTGAGAGATTTTTCCAATATTGCATCAGCAGCTTTGAAGCTGCTGGTTGTTCCTGCTGTGTCACCAATAACTGACCAGAGAGAGGAGAGAGCCATGCTCCTGTTTCCCTCTGAGACACACTGAGTATCTCTGTGTTATGACTCCTGTTCTCCACCAGTCTGTTGACCTCTATTTCACAGAAAAGCTCTGCTTTTCCAATTAGCCATGAGTCACAGAGAGCAGACATAAAAGAAACAACATTTGTTCCTCCACAGAGCTTACACTGTCCTCTCTATATATTCAACACATTGAACATATAAGCATTTAAACGGTTTCTAAACATTTCTTTTCACCTGTATCAGCAGCTCCACACAGAAGTGAATTTCTCAGTGGAACTACTGACTACTGGAACTACTATCCACTTTATTAATCAGAGAACTACCACCGCTTGCTCAACCAAAGTCAATGAGGTACTGACAATTCCTTTGGTGTTTTACTTCTCCTCTCTGGATTTGTCCTGGTTTAGATGGGGGCTTCAGTGAAGTGAAACGGGCGAGGAAAAAATGTCAGAATAGGAAAATAAAAAAGTTAAGCTTCATCTAGAACACTGTCGTCAGTGACGCCCTTTGTGACTAGATACAAACATTTATGGTTGCAAGCTGTTAAACAAACAGACTGGACTGATGACGTCTCCACCGTTAACAATAAATTAATAACAGCAGCAACCACAAAGCTGACACTCTCAGAAAGCTATTATATAATAGTAAACACCACTGACCAACGTCAGCGTGTAAGCAGAAGCAGGTTGTAAACAAACCAAACGGAATGAATGAATATGATATTATGTCTGTCATATGATTTACACTATGACTGAGCACAAACTTAGCTCATCCTTTGGACCACATAATATCAGTGGTGTTACAACGTAATGACTGAGGATCTTATACAGGAGGCATCCGTGACCCAGAGAGTCCAGACCTCATTGTTCACTGATTCACTTATTTAACCCTTCCTCTGCTGCCATACCGTTAAAATAATTGGAGAACCTGGAGAATACCTGACACCACTGTCACTTACTGCCACCATATATATTAGCTGGAGCACTGTGTGATATGTGTGATAGTGTGAAATGGCTGGATAATTCAGCAGTGATTGATGTGGTTAAAATATAAGCCTGCAGCTCTTCTGCTCTGAACTCAGCCCATCAGATTGCTCACAGCTGCTTCAGTTTAGCACTTCAATCTAGTCACATCTCTTCTTCAACTCAGAGGAGATAAGCATTTACTTCCTGTGTCTAAAAATAATCTGATGCCACTGCTTATGCCCACGAAACCCACTCATTACTGTTGTGTCAATTCAAAAACATAAGGGTGTTAGACTGAGTGAAAAGTTTTGGTTTTCACCTCTTACAGTTTGTCAAATGTACAACTGTTTGACTATCTATAAAAACAGGTCTTCTGGGGGTGTTGTCAAAAACAACAAATTAAATGCTGTAATTTGCAGAAAAATATTAAGAGAATTAGAATCCCCGCCTCGTGGTTGTATCCCACCGCCAACCAGTGAAGTTGCAGGAAATTTTCTGTTCCTGAGTTACAGGTGAGGTTGAGCTATGTCCATCTCTTCATACGACTTGAAATGCTTCTTCATACAAATTCAACCCAGCAACACAGTTTAGCTTCAGCTTGGGCAGAAACAGAGTCTAGTGACCTGAAGAGTTTTTGCAGAACATTATGATGTCACAGCGAAGTTGACCTTTGACCAATTGGATATAAAATGTCATCACTTCCTTTTAGACATTTGAGTTATGGTCAAAAATAGGGCTGGGCAATTACCTGAATTTTATTTTGGATTACGATTTTGGCTTCCAACGATTATAAAAACAAGATAATCGAGAGAAAACTATTATTGTGCCACATTCTGTTTCAAAACAAATTACATCTCCCCCACAAAAGGCATCTGACATTTTCGGTTCCGCTCTCGGTACTGAAGAAATTAGGGAAAAAGATTTCGTATTTGTTATTACAACATAAAAGTTCTCTTTCACATTCACCAACTGTCTGATTAAGACATTCATCTATGATGCATTTCGTGGTTCCCTACGCAGAAGTTCATCTGCATCTCTCTCTCTGACCCTGTGCTTGAGGGGCGGGGCAGCTCTCTCACACCCACTGGAGCACTGTGCAGCACGCGCATACACACACACACACACACACACAAAGTCAATGAGAAATCGTGTTGAATAATCATGATCTCAATATTGATCAAAAATAATCGGGATTATGATTTTTGCCATAATCAAGCAGCCCTAGTCGAAACATGTTTTGTGAGGTCACAGTGACCTTGACCTTTGAGCAACAGAATCTAAGGCGTTCCTGAGACTGCCAGACAGACGGAGAGATGGACAACCTGAAAACATCACACCTCCACCACGCCTGTCGCCAGCACAGAGGCACAATAAGGACATGATTTATAAGTAATCAACAGAGCCTCATTAACCTGAAGAATAAAAAATGTGAACAACAAATTAGGTGGAGTTAAAAAAAAAAAAAAAAAAAGAAGCTCTTCTCTTGGTTAATCTTGGCCACAGTTGTTGGAAAAGTGATGCATTGATTCCGCTTCAGAAGCTCCCTCAGTATATGAGAGAATTAATTAGTACAAATTTAAGATTGTGATCTACTAATACACATGGTTAATTATGCAGCTGCTAATTTATTTGCCTAACTCATCTTGAGAGTGGAGCATGTGCTGCTGTGTGCAGTTGGACTGTGCTGCTCTGCAGCTGGGCTCAAACTGCTTGAAGGGTTTTAGTCTGTGCCAGCTTCTGCAGGGCCTGGAATAAATCAGAGAGACTGCTGCTGTTGCACAGCAGCCCAGTGTACCAGAGCACCACCACACTATCTACTAGCATGTTCAGAGAGGGTGCAGCTCACAGCATGACACTGTATGATCCTGTAGAGCTGGTTCAAGCTTCACAGGACGGCGTATTACATCAGTGTTGTCAAGAAAGTCAGAGAGTTATTCCAGAAATTTACAAATAATTATGCTGAAACAAAACTTTCCACCTGACTGAAAAATATGAGTATCTCAAGTAAATAGATATGTTGGCATACAGTTAACCAAGTAAATTATTTTCAACTGTGTGTTGAATTTCAGATGTATTTTTTCTTACTAGGCAACAATGTGAAACAACTGCAAAACAAAAACTGGTATTTTGTGTGAAAAACATGTTTTTTTTCTTCTCTTTGTTTAACAAGGAGACCGATTCAGTTGTTGTGAATACACACACACACACACACACACACACACACACACACACACACACACACACACACACACACACATCACAATATCACAGATATGAATGTTAAGTATAATTTCACCCTGTTATTTTTTATTTTGTGAACTGAGGTGGTAATGAAGTTAAACAATGATTAATAGAAGCTTGCTAATGGTAACATAAGTGCACATATACATAGTCATATAAAGTAAATAATTATACTGTATAAAACGGAATAGTTTAAATTAAATTAAATTGGGTTTTTTTTGTGTTGAACACCAAACATTGATGGAGTTAGTATTTCATCCACAGAGAATGGCCTGGTGCATTTACATATAAATGATAAACTGCTGTGAGAATATTATGTGATATGTGTTTTATAAGAACATGGAAACAGGGCTGAGCAGGATTCAAGAGTGAAATAACTGTTTAAAAAAAGTGACAGATTTTGACAGATATTACGATATTGGTAATTTTTTAATTTCATATTCACTGAAAAAAAATGTAAAAATGACGATGATGTGATTTTTGCTGGGNTTGTGTTAAAAATAGGGCTGAACAGTACAAAACAAAAAAATCATTTGCGATTATTTTGACAGATATTACGATATTGGTCATTTTTTAATTTCATATTCACTGAAAAAAATGTAAAAATGACGATGATGTGATTTTTGCTGGGTGTTCCTTTACATCTGGAGAATATGATTTATAGGCCGGGGCTCGTCTGTAGCTTCATTTATGGTCTGTTGTGACACATTTTATATTCATCAAAAAAACTGCAGCTCCTGTGATTTGGATATTGCACTTGGCCATATTGTGTAATATTTCTATTAATTGTTCAGCCCTGGTTAAAAACATGTTTTACAGACAAGGTGACACAATAGCAGCTGCACAACGGTGACCTGCTCCTCACTGCAGTATGGTTATAGGTCAATGACCCTGACTACAGACAGCAGGTGAGCTTAATTGGATTGGCTGTTCTCCAAACCACATATACAGAAGTCAACTGTAAGAGAGACACAGACAGAAAACGACAGAACAATCCTGGCAACCATCACTGGGGATACTAAGTTCGTTTTTCCACCGCATGGTACCAACTCAACTCAACTACCAACTCTTGGTACAAGCTGCTTCCTTTTCCACTGCAGGTAGTACACCCTTAATGTTGCGACCAGTTACTGTGGTCACTGTTACTGCAGTGGCAACACACAAAGCTAGCGTGTCGTCATCTTCAACGTAACACACACATGTACAATGGAGGATATCTGAGGGAAACCAAACAGAGAAACGTCTGCTCCTCCTCATTGACCACACTGTGGTTTAGTGGGATGCTGTACCAAAAGTGTAACAATAAGTGAGAGAGATGTACCAGGCTACAGTGAGCGGTGTACAATCGCTTGGTTTGTTCAGAACGCTGTCTTGCACAATAATGACGCAGCTCAGATTTTTTTCATCAACCGGAGGAGCTCAGTGATCCTCGTGTGTGAGTGCCGTGAATGTTCCACTCACTCTTTGCAGGCGCTGGAGACGTGGGCCGGTACGGTGTATTTACAGTCCATGATCATGGTGAGCGTCTCGCTGTCGTTAGCTTCCTGGAAGGGCGGCTGGCCACACACCAACATGAACAGGATCACACCCAGACTCCAGATATCTGAGGAGGAGGGAGGCACAGAGAAGCAGTGTGAATACATGTATACTGATTTTTAATTACAGCAAATCATATGTGAATATGACAAAAAACAACCACACGCTGAGTTTAGAACAAACACTAGCACCGATAAAGTAAGATGGATAGATCACTGAGTTAATTCTACACAATATGAAACCTTGTCGTCTTAATACAGATAATCACTTCTTAAATTTATATGACAAAAAAAAACAAACTATTCTATGACATCGTTATATTTGATGATACTGCATCAATTATTAATAGTTTAACACGCAAAGATTCATGGCAGAGAGTGCTTCACAATGTGTTGTGTACTTGACTCTTCCTCCACTAAAAACGTAAACTGAGACAGGAAGTAGTGTAAGGCTGCACCGCTAACATTAGCATTAGCAAACCTGGTTGAATAGTAACATTACCACCGATGGCTGAATCTTTGGACTCATTTTGGTTTCTACAGTAAAGAAGACACTAAGGAGATCGACAAGAGCCGTGCTGTTTACAAAATGTACCAAAGTCAAATACTCTGGGGACCCAACGAATCTGAGAGCCAGGGTTGTAAAAAGAAAATTGATTCACATTAGAATCGCGATGCTGTCTCTACTAATTCAAAATCAATTCATAGATTACAAAATAATCAATTCATATTTTTCAGTCTTGTAACAGCGCTGGTTTACATTTTTTCCTGATATGAGTTTAGCTTGCCAGTTCAAGAGATGGCACTGTGCCGATTACCCGGCCAGGTATTTCTCCTTCGCATGCGTGAGAAGAAAGTGCAGTATGAGCAATGTAAAACACAAAGGAAAAAGTAATCTAACCTGCCCCATCTTCATTGAAGGCAGCGTTTGAGCACATTTCACATTTTGTAACCTCGAGGAGAAGAAGCAGCTCAATAAGACCCATGTTATCTGCAGCTTTATATACATTTTTAAGATCTGGTCATCACTGTGGTGTATGTCATGTAGAGAGCTAATAAAAACAAATGAAATGGCCAAAGAAAACGTTCCACCTTAAAATTGTCCAGTAGCTGCCGAGAGCCTCTGAGTTGCTCAGAGAATTTCATCATGTGATCTTAGTTAACTGATCTATGTAATCTTGTCACCATAGGAACAGTGGTTACATAACCTTTGCAACGAACCGCAACTTAACGGTACGCATGCTTGCATGTGCATGTCATTGGTGCACTCCAGTACTTAAACAAATAGCACTACACCTCTGACCATCATACATATATGAAATATATAATGTCATATACTATATGACGTATTACCATTGATTTTGATTCGAATCATGAGATTTTCTGAATCGTGCACCCCTACTGAGAGCACACCGCTCTGATGTACAGCTAACAAAACAGCTGCACATCAGAGTGGACAAGTGGATCCTTCTCAACTCACTGTGCAACCACAAGTTCATACACTGAAGTTACCACTGACCTCTACTAATGCAGCCAAAATACCTCAGTCAGTACTTTATTCTTTCAGTGGCAAAGATATGTGCTCTCTCAGTGTTGTTGTGTGAAGCCTTGTTTCAGCATCATACCCTCCCAACAATAGGTCACTGACATCCTGTGTCCAGGATGTACAGGCAGGTAAAAACAGAAATGGTGGATAAGACAGAGTTTGACATGAAGTCCATGGAAAAGATGCCACGGGATCCAAACAAGGAGACAATGAAGGGAAGTTACTGAGAGAGTCTGGTAAACAACATGGATGGAGGGAAGTGTGCAGTGAATGTCAGGTCTTTCCTGTCCCCATCTCATTTGTCCCATGTGATTGTAACCACTCCTGTGCTCTCACAGCTGTCTCTACACTGGTCGACTGTTTGCCTGCGTAATGCGCCTGTTTCATTGAAACCCCAAAACAAGTTCTCATACATGGTGCTATCATGCAAAAGTGTGTGTGTGCTGACAGTATAATGCATGTCAAATCAGTTCATCTGTGTTAGTGGTTGTTCAAGTGTGAGTATGTGCTGTTGCTAGTTGCACCGTGAGAAAGCAAACTGTCGGCATTCAGAAGCAGTGGGCCATTCAGACTTTATGCAACCATGATCAACAACAATGCATGCGCACGCACGCATGCCTCGCTCCAGCAGTGTGAACAGTGGTAACAGAGCTAACAGGAGGAGGGTGGGAAACAGACTCCAGCATGCAGCTAGGACAGTGGCTCACAGACACAAACACAGAGGCAGACAATTGACCAAGTGCATTAAACACATTCTAGTCTTACTCTTAAACAAAGACCAGATCTATCTCCTCACTAACTCTTTTCCATCTCATATACAAACATGTGTAAATGAACTCGGACTCCTCTCTCCTCTCTCCTGTCTGACAGAGGAGCAGAGCCAACTCACTCAGGCTGGAGGAAAAAAAGACATCACGGCGGCTCCAGTCAAATATTGGCAGCTCTGAGGTAATTACCATGATGAGAGTTTTTAAGTAACTTTCTAATTAAGCACAAATGCTCAGATGCCCTCGGTACTTAATGGGTTGGCAGACTAAAGCCCTGATGAAGCAAAAGAAAAAATGCCAGATATGGAAAAAAAAAAAAAAAAAAATCCAACTCTGTTTTTATGTATAATTTTTTTTTCACCGATGCTTTTAGCTCTAGGCTTGAGTCAGCTATCTGTTAACAGTGATGCATTATGGGTTGGACATGCTGTATCTTCAGACCCAGCTGAGCGTTCATACAGACAGTGAAAAAAATAAACAGGACTTGAGCTCATGGTGCTTTTAAGAGGGAAAAGCTCACCTGACTATGTGATCTGTTTGGTTTGGATTTTAACACCCTCCATCAGATTCAATGTCAGGGACACCTGTATCTGTGTAGCCACATGACTGCGGCTCTCTCTGAGAGGCTCTCTTCTCCTGTCTGTCAAAGCCAGCAGGGTCATGGTCTCAGATTGTCCCTGAGGCCTGTTTTATACCAATCCACTTACCCATGTTCACTCAGCAGTAATAAAATAAGAGGACAATATAAACAGTGGACACAGTGTGCATAGAGAAGAAGCTGCAGCTGCCAGTGGTCCAGTTACAGTCTGCTTTATGAGAGCATCCACAGCACAGCCCAGGCTACAGAGCAGTTTAGAGGATAAACTGCTGCAGATGGCGTTTGTTCCCAGAGAAGGCAAAAATGAAAGGTATTAGCAAAACTGAGCCACTGCTAAAGCTGAACAAATGGGGTGTTACAGGGACAACAGAAGCAAATGACGGTTTAGTCTAAATGCATCAGAACAAAGCATCAGAGAAAGAGATAAACATCATGTATCTCTACAAGCACCAATGAAGTGTTCTATGTGCTCTCCGTGATCAGCGTTTCCACGTCTATAATATTTTTGACACCCTGACCAGCTCTGTACCGAGGTCTCCTCTGATGAATCATTAACAGACATGGATGTAGAGAAAGGTTGGCTCAGCGTTACTTCAGCGTAGCAGCTTGTTGCTTATTGTACCAATTAGGTTTCCTGGATGTGTTGGCAAATGTAGGATCAGGTCAACCTCTGTTCTCGCACTGAGGGAGGCTGCACATAGCTGAGTGCGTTTTTCCACCTGGGACAGTTTCACCACAAACCTCATGAATCATGGACTGGATGTTCTGGCTGAGAGCTCGATACAGACCTTCAAAATGTGGACTCCACCTCTTGAATCCTGCTCAGCCCTGTATGTTGTACTCCGTCCAACAAGCTGGCACCAACCGCTGTGAGAAACATCACTGTGCCCATATATCAGTTTAGATCCGTGTGTGTAGATACATAACACCCACTCTGTTGCAGGATTTGTCTGATGGTTTGATTATCCTACAGGACAACATGCAGATCAAGGTGTGTTTACAGGTGTGGGAGTACTTCTCGGATGTGTGAAGCTGATAATTGTCCGCAAGCGATGTCATTTGAGGCAGCGCGTGTTGGAGCTGCAGACTAAAAATCAAGGGGTGGTGAATTGACCAGACCTATTGTAGCCTCTGACCAAACTGTTGGTGGCAGAGTTGCATCATGGGTTATTACGTTGCTAGGTTTCGACAAGGAAGAAGATGAGGTGGAATAAAATAGACAATACAGCTGGTTGTGTTGCTTTGAGTTCGATTCTTTTTACTTAATTTTCCATCATGAGTCCAACAATGTTATAGGAGTGTAATGCCAAATCCATACAATGCTCTGGCTACAGATATACCTATATTATAGTATAATGGAAGTGATGACCAAGTTACAGTTTTAAAATACCACAGTCTCAAAAAACGAAAGGCAGTAACAGAGAAGTAAATGTTAATAACAAACAGTCAAACTTTGGGCCCCTTCCTCTCTCTAAAAGGACTCCAGCACCACAAGTGTCTGAGTCTACTGCAAGGGGGAGGAAAGCCAGACAATCTCACGTAGGCTGCTCTGTAGGAAACACGTAAGAGAAACTAAACTACCCACTGCTATTAGCTCTGACACAGACCTTACAAAACAACTCATCTATATCAAACACAGCTTCCTGAGAATGAGATTGCTGCATCTGCTGCCGTTGTTTCCAGTTATTGAAATATACAGATATAAAAGTCTTAGTCAAATAAAACATCAATAACTGGCCACATGGTGACGCTATTGCAACAACCTTTTACTATGACTACAGAAGGTTGAACTGCGCTGACAATACCCATAAAACTTTGTTAGCCAGTCATGAAAACATCATTACATGACATCTCAAATCAAACGCATGGGCAGTGCTCTGGGTCATACAAACATGGTATGTACCAAACTTGGTAAAGCTCAGATGAAAGATGGAGGATAGGGAGTCAAAAGTATCTCTAGCAAAAAATTCAAAACTGCAGAAACGTTTGTATAAAGCAAATGGCCTATGTAAAGATATTAGCCAACACATTTTGCAATGATTGTTAGCTCACTTCTCACCACATGGTGGCGCTATTGCTACCATTTCTGATTGTGTGAAGCACTGAAGTATGGGGAGGCTGTTCGCCAAAATTTATTTATTTTTTTTTAAATGCATG